ATAAACTAAATGGGTCGGTATTGTCGCCTTTGACCCATACAAACAGTGAGGAGACTCACCTTGCACTGCTGATGTACTGCAGATAAAAGTATGACTGCTGGCTGACAGACCCCGAACTGTCAACATCAAAACAACACCCAATTAATAATTGGGTTCCAATATATAACCATAAGTCCATGCTTGGGTTAAAAATACTACTTTACCTAAAACCTAGCTTGATCCCAGCTCAAGGCCCAAACATACACTTTAAAGCCCCAAAAGCCAAACAATGAACCAAGGCCCAACATATGGCTAAATTTTCCAAACTGGGCCCAAACCCCTCACATGGACCTTTCCCTAAATCCCATTCAAATATCATGTTCTATAAACTTGTTCTTAGATGGCCCATCAAGAATTCAAACATCTAAGCCCAACAGAAAAGCCCAACTCAAAACCGAGCACAATTCGGGTTTTCACATAAAATGACGATTAGGGTTAAGTGTTCTTACTTAACCCATTAAGGAATTAATCAATTAAGTCCATCACCCCCACTAGGCTAATCATACAATGTGATCGGGCATAAGTCATAACTTCATTCAAATGGTCTAAAACATGGGTCCCAATAAGTCCAAACAACAGTCTCCAAGATTAGAGTTTTCTAAACCCTAATTAGGGTTTCCAACCCAACACAAGCTAATTAGTCTAGTGGTTAAGTCTTTACATTCATTAGAGTCTAATAAGTCGGGCACCTTCCACTGCCACCTCGGGCGGTGTTTGTCGACGGTGGTTCACGGCGACAGCCACCACCTCATGGTCGTGGTTGGGGTTTTCCTTGACTTTTTTCTGACCAAAACACCTAATCAACATTTCAACATAAAGGAAACACAATCATACACACCTAATGACTCGTACAACCACCCACGCGGTGGCAGGCGGCGGATAACTGTGGAAGCCACCACCTCATGGTGGTGGCGGTGGGTTTTCCGGTAAAAATCGCATATAAAACCCCACAAATACAAAAAGCAGTATGTACACTCAAACGCACACCCATACAGCCACCGCCTAGGCGGTAGATGTGACATCCCCATTTTCATGACTAGGAAATACCATTTTTGTTTATGCTTTATAAAAATCAAAGTACCTCTTTTAATAAAAATATTGCGGGATTTGTTCCCAGTAAAACATGATACATACGTTATCAAAGCATTTCTGAAGAAAAGTATTTTTTATTCATTCTAAAACATTTGGGATGTCATCGTCAATACAAAAACATATGCATAAACAAAACTTACATTCATTATCACTAGTTATTTATATCTCCTAAATCTCTCAGTGTAATGAGACTTCATATCAACACTTGTGATATAAATAGACTGAGTGGGTCAGGTTGGGAAACCTGGTGAGTACATAGGGTTTTCAACCCACAATAAATAAGTTTATTAACTTTATCAAACCAAACAACCCCAATTACTCATTCCCATTATCCTCACTTTACATCCCTAAAACATCTAACACAAGGGATCTAGTCTAAGAACTTCCATCGTGGTGACAACACATGCTTCGGGGGTTCCTCGGCAATTCATGTCAAATAAGGCAACCATGTGGGGGATGGAGTACTGCTGGTGAGCACACAGTTCAAATAAACACCTACAAGTTACGAGCCTACTAGCGTTCCACTGGACTGTCTAGAATAATCCGTGGTCATCATCTATACTTCGCTAGATGACTGGATCATCAATAAAATCTATATCGAGGCCTATCATTATTTTATTTGGTCACACAGCAACTATTACATCTATCCATGTTTTACCCAACACATTTTGTAGATATAAAATACATATACATTTTAAATAGTTTAAAACGTGTATAAAAATATTTAACCCAGCATAGACAACAAGTATTCAGACAATATGCATACATAGCACGTAATTTATATTAAATACTTCATATATATGTGTAAGATGAAAGGGACCATGCACTCACTTGAAAGGTGGTGATTCTGAACCCAGACAGCGCTTCGCTTCTTAAAAATAATTTCCTTCGATGAAACCTACTATTATTACCACTAGAGTTTAGTCTATTATTCACTGAGACTAATTAATAGTCTAGCTATTATTATTATTATATAAGCGTTAAACAATACTTATGTAACCCATAATAATAGCGCAAGTAATTATAAGTTCCTAATAACGTTACTATAATTAAATAAAAGCTATATTAAGAATAGCGTAGGCGTGGCTCACTTACAGCGGGTTTTATAGAAAACCGGGCTTCACTTGGAGCAGCGTTCCCAAGCCGAAAATCTCTTCTTCTCGGAGCCATCGAGCACTCCGGGGCTTCCGCCTCGTGCTAGGGAGGTTCCCTAGGTTTTTGGGGGGTTTCGGGGCTAGAGAGAGGTTCTAGAAAGAGAGTAAACAGAAGAAAGAATAGAAAAGGTTTGAAGAAAATAAGGGTGGGAAAGGGTCTATTTATAGGGTGAAATATGGCTGAACTTGGTATCATATTTCACCATCTGGTGGCAAGACTTTGGGAGAAAGCAATGGTCAGGATTGTATCACGTCATCCATTTTCGTACAACACACTTTCGACTTCTAAAATCCGTAACTTTCACATACGAGCTCCGTTTTTGACGTTCTTTATATCCACGCGTAGGTAAAAATAAGATCTACAACTTTCATTTTGACTTTGTCAGCTAATTCTCGACCGATCTTAAATTTAACAGTACAAAGATATTTTACTCTTAAATGTCCGCGTAAAATTCATAACTTCTACATACGGACTCTGTTTTCATCTGTCTTTTTACCGTTGAGTTCCTATTAATGAGATCTTCAATTCTCATTTAGGTTGCATAGGCTAAAAACCGCTCGATCTAAAATTCGAGTTTCGGATTGTGCATTGCTAAGCCAAATCTTAGAAAATTCCTAACTTCCTCATACTAAGTCAGATTTAGGCGTTTTTTTTTTTGTAAGATTTAGGCATTTTTTTTTGTATGTTCTCGGTTTAACATATACTACAACCTCTGTTTAAATTTCTAAGGCTAAAAAGTCCTCCATCGTAAATTCACTATTTACGTCTCCCGGTGTCGTGCCGGTTTTGCCGTAAAACTTCGACAAACCATAACTTCTTCGTTATAAGTTCTTTATATGTACTGAACCCTTGAGACGTATTCTACAACTTGGTTAAGAATTATTTATTCTAAATAATCTTTTGTCGAAAAGTCGTTTTCGACCCCTATTATCTCTAAATTGACTAGCTCGGATCTACGAATGTTACAGTAGACGTCACAAAAATCAACTACAACAACAACCAAATCCCACCATCCGCAACAACGACGCACACGATGTCAAACACACCGAGAGGTACGACGGAGAGAGAGCAGTGGGGGTTAGACTTATCGGAAACTTCCTGATCGCTCACGACCCACACGAAGACGAACACAGCTTCAAATACCAACCTCGGTGCTCTTACGGTTGCCCGCGACGTCCGACAGCAAGGGTCATGATGGCGGCATTCGGCGGCAATGTAGCAGGCGGTGGTAGAACTTGGCATTGCAGTGGCGGCTGAGAGGGCTTCACATGGCGGTGGCCGAAGAAGGATATTTTAGGGTTAGGGTTGTACCGACAAAACGAGGGAAAAGGGAATCAGGTTAATCCCGTGACTCTCATTCAAACTTCATACGAAATTGACACAACTGGTCCTTCCAACTCACAATCTTTTCAAAACAAATCCATAAATTACCATTCAGCCCTCATCATTCCAAAATCCTTTCAATTTAAGTCCAATATTTTACCAAACACCCCCTGACTTCTGAAAATCTTTACATACCAATCCGGAAATTACACTTAACCCTCAATATTCAAACGTTATGACTTTTAACCCCAAAACCACGCCTTGCTAAATTATTCTGAATTTAAGGCTACAATAAAATAACATAAGAAAAATGATATAATTTACATCTCGAGGTTTGGGGATACTTAATTATTTACTTATTTATTTAAATTATACGGAATGTTACATTTGAATATTTGAACTCCTTCATCAAAACATATTATTTAACACATTGTTCATTGATTTAAGGTCCTTTGAATCTATTTTTTTATATATTTTTGTATTTAGAAGTTCAATTTTTTAGAATGCCATAGTGACAAAGATGTTAGATGATTAATATGAAAGCCATATCATATGTACAAAAGTCAGGTTGCTTTGAAATTAGTCAATCCCAATGTTATTTGGACATTTGATTTATATTTTTGGTTGTATATTTTTTAATATTAAGATATTGTAATCTAATTTTTTGGGTATTATATAATATTTGAAAATCATGTAATATTTAAATATTTACAAAATGGTGTATGTATAATAAATAAATGATAGAATACTTTTTTAAGGATAAGACATATATCACAAGAAGTAAGATTACTAAATTAATATATATATATATATATATATATATATATATATATATATATATATATATATATAAAAAGGAGGTTCAGATGAGAAAAAATAATAAAATTGAGAATAAATATGGGCCACATATTTCAAATCTGTTGTTTAAGCGTTCCAGCATATCGAAACAACGAAACATATAATGTTCATGTGTGTGTGTGTATATATATATATATATATATATATATATATATATATATGAACAAGTATGTGCCTATTCACACGAAATTATTCATATATGAATATGTTGGTTGGTGGCGGAGGTAGTAGTGGTGTCGGTAAGTTGCAGAGGTGTTGGTGATAATGAGGAATATTCATATATGAATAAGTATATAGCTATTCATATATGAATAAATATATTCATATATGGATAGGCGTGTGTCTATTATCAAGTAATTATTCAAATATATGAATATGACAGTTAGTAGCCGAGGTGGTGGTGGTTGTTGTGGTAGTAGTGGTTGCGGTGACAGAGTTGTAAACGCGAGAATATACTTATATTTGTATTCGCATATGATATATAACTATATTTATATATAAATAAGTATGTAATTGATTATTCATATATGAATATGGCGGTTGGTGACAGTGGTGGTGGTGGTAGCACGGGTAGCGGTGGCTATGACTGTGGTAGTTACGGTGACGTGATTCTGGTGCCAATGGTGGTAAACAAGAGAATATATTTATATTTATATTCACATAGGAATATTACATTTATCCGTCGCGCGAGAGGCTTTTGCGATAAAAAAAATAGTATGCGAAAGGCTTTTTGTGGCAAAAAGAAATATATGGTCCAAATTTGTTATCGTGTTCTCAATTATATAATTTTTTCTCATTTAAATTAAGCATGTGTATGTGTGTGTGCGTGTGTGTGTGTTTGTGTGTGTGTGTATATATGTGTGTATATATATATATATATATATATATATATATATTTGTTAATAGGTGTAAGATTTGTGTATTATACGAGTTAATTTAAAAAAAGATTAAATATTAAAGTGTAAACAGTAAATAGTTTTTAATGTAAAATTTTAAAATAAGAAAGGAATAAACATATTCATTGCAATTTAATAGCATATATATATTATTTTTAATACTTTACGTATATAAGTATATAATTTTAGATTTATAAATAGAAACAAATAAGACATTGATAAGTGGATAATATTTATTTTCAAAAATATGACAAAATAGCAAGTGTTAAAACTTATAAGAGATTGAGAAGTGACAAAATTATTTTCATTTATTAAGAAAAATTATATTATTATTTTAATGTCCGATGAACCTTGTAGCAATTAAAATGTAAAATTATATCAACAAGTATTGATGCATAGACCAATTAAAACATTAAAATAAAGTTAATTAATGAAATGAAATATTGCATAATAATTTCATACTTATTTACCTAAAAATGACTTACTGAATCTAGCTACTAAATTCATTCATATGTATGTTTCTAAGATTTTGTACTAAATTTTTTAGACATGTATAGTATAAATAGTATAGATCTCTAAAGGTTTTAGTAGAAACTACAAAATAAACGGTGAGAAACGACTATACCTACTAGACAATATGAATATTGAATAGTATATATTCCATCTTTCTATATAAACAGATTCAATCTCCATTTCACCACCCATCATTTCTTCTATCTCTTCCATCAGAAATGAGGTTCCTGGTAATTACTCTCCTGCTGATATTGATGGTGGCGGCCACTTCCTGCTTGGCCCAAGAACACCACCGGAAAATTTTGAATGATGAAACGGCTCACGAGATCCACCAGCGAAAGCTCAAAGAAAGTACAGACAGCACTGTTAACAACCATCACTACATTCCCCGGTCGGAGTACGGAAACGGTGGTGGTGGCTCCACCGATGATGCAAACCTGCTAAACCACCATTACATTCCAAGGCAAGACTTCAACAACGACGGTGGAGCCACCCACGACGATGAGATGAAACCGTGAAAGCATGTGGTTCTGCTTATGGTGGTTGTACTTGCGGCTTAAGATGGTTGTATGTTATGTTGGTAGTAGGACCATAGTGCTATAAATAAGAGAAATGTGGTCAATGGTAGGTTATATTACTTGCTATAAATGGAAATTATTTCCTTGTTCGCCAAGTGTGTTTAACCGTTTAGCAAACGAAAGATAAAAATCAACATAAAGCGTCAAACGATTCATACACAAAAGAACATATGAAACTTTTCAAATGGTTATTTATCACAAATGAATTGTCTGAATATAATAAATTACTATTTTATGATTCATTTTAAATGATGTTAAATAACAAATAAGAAAATCATAAATTGAAATTATAAATGAGCATATTAATTTTATTTTAATATATTAACAACTTAAATTGGTTATAATTTTTTAATAAGTTCAAATATACAAAAGCTTAATTTAATTCCATTAAAAAGAACACGAGACACTAATCAATATCACTTTCCAATATATAAAGAATGACATATTAGCTTTCAATAAAAGAATTTGAGAAGTTAAATTAGACAAGAAGAATTTGTCTATGATGCATTTTTTTATCTTGTAGTTTATAAAAGTAATTTGTGTATGGTGATAGTTTAGGGCCAATATAAGACTTTCCAACGTGAAGAAGAAAAAAGAAAATAAAAGACAGTGACTTTGAAAAGAAGAAGAAGAAGCAACAACGTAGAGCAAGGAGATGTTTAATATTCGGAGAAGACGATATGCAACATAGGATATGGTCGTGACTCGGATCCAAGATTGAAGTAGGGAGGGGTCTGTTATACGTAAAAAAAAACATATATAGGAATAAAACTCTAATTTTTTTTAGGAATATGTAGGTTGCTGCAGCAAAAATATGTTAAGAGTTGGCTTTTTTTTTTTTTTTTTTTTTGTTAGAATAGGTGCTATAAACGAGAGGTTTTACAAAAGTAAGTTTTTTAAAGGTTTTTTTTAAAGTAATATAGTGGTGGGGACCCACTTCCAATTGGGGTGCAAGAATCCCACTCCTAACATGTTGCATTAGCCACTCGTCGTGACTATGCAACAAAGGATATGGATGTGGTGTTGCATCTTATAAATTAAAATTTTGAGATAAAGGATAATTGAAGTAAGTAGAAATGAACACAACATGGTTTGATGCAGAGAAAAGAAAATGCATAATTTGAAAAATAAATATTTAATTACCACTTAATATTAAGGACATCATTTTCCCACCTTAATTCATTAATCATTAAGGCATTTACTTAACATTAAGTAAAAAAGAAACAACTACATATAGTTGAACCACTAAATGCATTAGACTGGTCGATGTTGGGAACGCCTATTGACGTTTCTAGAAGAAAACGGGCATTATAGGATTTTGTGGTGGTAACAAGAAGCAATAGACAAACTTATAACGCGCAAAAATAGTAAAGTGGAGCGGTGTTTGTGGTGTTATAACATGCAAAAACGCCCCAATGGGCGTTGCCCACACCTAACAGTCTTAAGTAAAAAAGAAACACGATCTTAGTTTCTCTCTTACCATTAAAACTTGGCAACTCCAACCCTTTAACCGTCTTCGTTAGTTGGAGTCCTCCATTGGACATGTAATACCACCTCAAAAATTATCCCCCTAAAATTTTCGACAATCTACGTAACTCTAACTAATTCATGATTTCCACCTTTAGTATCATATCCAACAAAGATATAACAATATTCCAATCATTCTCATTTTGTCATCATTTAGATTCATATTGTTGGATTAGGTGTTTAAACTCATAACTATAATTGGTATGTACTTGAAATAATAGGAGCACAGTTCTTTTGGATTGCCTTCATGCTAGCAACTAGACATGATAACTTTTTGGAGAAAGAGGTTAAATTTATTATTTGATTAATAAATTGTAATAAATGATTTATTAATGTATTATGGAAATAATATATTAATTAGAAATCATATTATTTAATTAATATTTAATCAGAAATTAATTTAGAATTAATTTTGGGATTAAAGGGATTAATTAAAAGTACAAAGACTAAAAGTGAAATTGTTCAATAGTTGAGCAAAATGGTCCATAACCTTCCTAGGGAAGGAGGTGGACGATATATATATATATATATATATATATATATATATGTATATGTATATGTATGTATATATATATGTGTGTATGTGTGTATGTATGTATGCATATATATATATATATATATATATATATATATATATATATATATATATATATATATATATAAAGATAATTCTAGAATTTCTAGATTATCTTATCTTATATGGATAATTAAGGAGGTGAATAATTATCAAGTTTGAAATATTAACATTTTATTCAGTTAAGGCTTATCCATGGTATCATTGGTGCACTATATAAAGAGTCCTTCACCCTTAGAATTTCGGCCATCCTTTCCAATTAGAAGAATCTGAAATTTCTCTCCTCTCTCATCTCATCCTCTTGCTAAGTGTGTTTGTGAGCCATTAGAGATGTGACACTTGTGATGCTTGCTCTCAAGCTTCAAGAACTCTTGGATCTACATTGTTATTACTACACAACAATCAAAGGTATGTCTACAATCTCTTAATATGAATTTCAAAAATAGTAGGTAATTCCTAGGGTTTATTCTTTTGTGTTCAATACTTGCATGTCTAATAGAGAAAACATAGATCTTCACAATTTAGGATTGCATGCACACATATGATTGTTTGTTATACTCTAAACTCATCAGTGGTATCAGAGCCTTTGGTTTTGTTTTCAATTGAATATGATGCAATTGGTTGAACTTGACACTTAAGGTTTATGACAATTAAACCCTTGGGCTTAGGGTTTTCGCAAATTAGGGTTTGCTAATCGTAGTTTTCAAAAATCTGGATAAGGACTTTAACCTTTTCCTTTGGCCTTCTAATTTTGGAAATTTAGGGTTTCCTAACCCTAAGGATTTTCGAAAATATTGAAATGATTGAAAGCCTTGCCTTCCTCACCAAGATATGGTAATTTCGAAAATTAGGGGATTAGGTAGGGTTCTTATTTTTGATAATTATGTTCTTAATTGATAAACTAGATAATTATAGGATTTTATAAGCATCCCTCCTATTTTTTTTGAAATTTAAGGGATAGAGATTAGGTTAAATTATTTTGATTAATTTAATGGATAATCCCCAAATGATTTAATAAATTAATTAAATGTTTAATTAATAGATAATTATTAAATCAAAGTTTTTGAAATTTAAATTGTTTTTAATTTTCGAAATTTAAAGATTTAAAACTCTAGTATTTTAAAAGGTTAAAATATATCTTTATGGATTTTATTATTAATTTAATTAAGTGATTAATTAAAAGATAATTAATAAATCCATTAATTGGTTTAAATTTAATTAAATTAAAAGTTTAATTTATCAAAGGATTAAACCCTTACTATTTTAAAATGTTTTAAAATACACCTTATACTATGTATATAATTAAAAGTTTAATATATACTATATGTATAAGACTAAGTCAGTCGAACCGTTAGTACGCTTCATTCACGAAGCCGATCTATAAGGGGGTATAAGAAACTGCCTATAAAATGGTAGTTGAATGGGTGTCGACTCTCACCCACCGTTTCATTGATTGGTGGATGGTCGTTAGCCGAACGGGTTTGATAGGTCATAACCTTATTAAAAGTATAATGATGAAAAGTTACCAAACTATTTTCTAAAATCTCAATCTTAGTTACTTTAAGAAAAATGTGAATTTGATGCTAACCCATGAAATTGCACATTGCACCTTATTCGTCGTTAGTGGATCGTGTATGGTTAACCGACACACTAATAGGGAATAATATTGTTGGCAATGGGTGTATTGTAAATTATCATTGATTAATGGAGTGTGTGTGGCTAACTGGCACATTAACTAGATGATAAATGACATCGAGAGTACCAAGCTAATTTACATGGTTATTCACATCTCGTTTGTGATCCTCGGCACTGCAGTCACAGAGTGAGAGCATAATCGAGATTAAACATGTCATTGAATAGTTCAATAAATCTCAAAGATCTAGGTGTTTCAATTAGATTGAAATTGGTAAAAGCCTTTCTTACCTAAAATAGATTGAAATTTGATTACGACATCCTTCTTTAAAGCTCAAATCAAATATATGGATCCTAACCTTAATTTAAATTTTGGGTTAATACATTAGGATTAAAAATCAACTAACTTAAATTCTCTTTTCTCCCTTTATAGATGTCAAGTTCAGACAACAATGGTCTTCATCATCTTTTTGGAAATCTTTTTCCCCTATCTAAAGATAATCTTCCACATGTTGATCAAGGAGAAATAATGTTCCCTTCTTCAAGCAATGGTAGAACTGGAAATCATGCTTCTCTAACTCTTCCTCCACCTCCTCTAGTAATTTTTCATGAGCTACGTTTTCTTCAAGCTGAAAACTACGAAGTCACTTAAGCCCTGTTGGCAAGCAAACATCAAGATGGAAAGTTTGTACTAAAGGGATTCTAGCCCAACAGTATCCGGTGTTGTCCTCCCTCCTTGAGGTTGAGGGTTCAAGTCCTGTCGTGGACAAAAGTGATTTTAAGGAGCAGTTTAGGAGTAGGTTAGATATGTTGTTTCAAAAAAAAAGATGGAAATTTTGTGTGTGCACATGTTATCGATATGAAATCGCGCAATGACAGATTGGGGATGTTAGGTGTCGTTTTCCCGAAGGAGTTGGCCATTGACTTGGTTCTACTTTCGTTTCCTGAGTCATATAGTCAGTTCATTAATGACTATTATATGAAGGACGGCGACGTGACCCTAATCAATCTGACATATATGTTGATTGTTGTTGAAGCACAAATACTTAATAACACAAATCAAGCGAATGTGTTTTGAAGGATCTGTCTCCCAAGTTTCCATGGACATTGACAATAGCAACATTGGTAGTCCATAAAAGGTTTCTCTTCCCAATGGCAATGGATTGGCCAAGGTCAAACCATTTGACCATATAATAAAGAGAAAGGC